CCTCGCCTGGACCTTCTCTGTTTTATTATTATAAAAAAGGTATATAAAAACTGAATATATATTTATTTATATTTTTTTAAATTAAATTTTTTTTTTAATTTACATTATAATTTAGGCAGTTGCTCATCAAATTGATACCTTTAAATTATTGTGTCGTGGGCGGCAACTTACTTCTTGGCGAAAAGAATTCCAAAAAGAATGGAATTTATTAGCATCACGGCATTGTAACTTTGATCAATATTTGACAAATAATGAGCACTGGTTTTGTTCATGTCCCTACTTTGCAACAAACCGATTCTTTTTATGTAAACATTTGGTTGTTCCAATTGGTTTAAAGCCGCATTCATTTTTTTATAATGTATTACTTATATATATTTTTTACATTAATAAATTTAAATTTCTTAAGCTAATTTTTTTATATATTTAGGTCTGTCGTAATTCAACATATCCTCTAATCTCAATATCACCAAATAACCCCTGGCAAGAAATACGAAAATACTGTAATCTTGAAGATAATTATGAACCCCTAACAATAAATAGTAATTCTATTACCAGCATTAATGAAATCCCTATAACGAATAGTGCAAGTGAAATAAATAATGGGTCTGTAGACATAGTCGAACAAAAACATAATCGATTATATCAGATTCTAAATGAGGTAAAAAATTTTATAATTATTTAATGTTATATTCTTAATTAATAATATTTATATTGGTATTTAGGCACAGCGTATTCTTAATGAGTCGAAGGTTCTTCATAATCGGCAGAAGTTTCTTGACAACATGGAAGAAAAGTTAATTCCTCTTAACAAATTAGTTGAAGATATTTTGCATCATGAGAAACGACGCACATTACCACGAACGTGGAAAGATAGTAATATGAATACACAATATTATGGATGAAAACTTTGTGTATAAATGTAATAGTTTTATATCCTTGTGAAATTATAATAATAAAGCTTATAACTTTATTGGCAATAAATAAATAAATATATTCGATACATTTTCGTGAAATGTACTATCACTATTAAATATATTTGATATATGCACTATCACTATTAAATAAATTAATTTTTTTATATACTTCGATAATAAATTAATTTTTTTAAATACTTCGATAATAAATTAATTTTTTTATATACTTCGATAATAAATTAATTTTTTTATATACTTTGATAATAAATTAATATTTTTATATACTTCGATAATAAATAAA